TGTTTACATGAGTGAATAAAGTGTATGTGATTGGTTGTTTATCAAGAGGGCGGGATTGATGTGGTTGAAGGTTAACAAGTAAGTTTAGTTGTGGCCGGTTTCTCGGAAGCATCCTGTTAACCAATTAGCAACTTAGTGCTAATAGGTTACTAATGGGAAATCACATTGGGACCAAGTAGCAGTAAATTGGTGACTTTGAATCGACACTGTCAAGGAACGCTATGGACAGCAGAAACATGCAAGAGGAGGAGAGTTTTGAGTCAGAGTTCATGGATGAGTCTCCTCCGTCATAATTTTTTTATTTAGAGGAGGAAAACGGGGACGAAGATGTTGTGGAATAGGACACCAGGGCGACAGAAGCTTAGTTTGGTGTAGAAGGCTTACAGCCGCACATGTTTGAGCCCTTGCCTCGCAACGCTGCCAGTTCTGTCAGCTCTACGCCTGCTGAAGACACAGACATCCATCCCTGTGAACACTGGGATGGAATTCAATGGGAGGGTAAATGATTCTTATTTCTTATTTTAACCGTTGCGTATATTAGCTGCGACATATGAATCAAGATGCTATGACCAAAAAAATGTGATTGACAGATGACCGTTGATATATGATTGGCCAAATTTAGGTGTAAAAGCTGACATATAACTAACTGGTCTGCATAAAATAATGGAAAAAAAACCCCCACAAATTTTAAGACAGAAATTTTCTAAATTTTGGGACAATATCATCTTAAATAGGATTTCCCTACGGCTTAAATCAAATCCAGCCAAATCAAAGCTCTTATTGCAGGCATGGATGAAGAGATGCTGAGTTTGGAAGTAGAGAACAAACATAGTTCATAAAAAACAATTTTTATATGATCCTACAAAAATCCACAACAAAAAGAAAATATTTGCGCAGAAACAGCAAAGGCTGGATGCTGATTTTTAAAAAATTTGTCATTAAATTAAGCATTCATTTTCGCATGTTTTCCCCCCAACGATTTTAACAATAATATCGCGTAGACTGTTCTCGAGCTCCGGGGAATTCGGACCGGAGCAAGACAGGACGAAGAGCAGAGAATGTTGGCTTTTCTTTGCTTAATTAAAATAGGTGGCTTTTTTTAAAACCTCTACAGAGCATTCCTCATTTCATTATTGTCAACATAAATTCCTTAATATCCAATTTTGAAATAAAAAAGCTTAGTCTCTGGTGCACTTCTTTAACTTCTATCACAACGGCAACCGGTCCCCAATTAGTTGCTGCGAGCAATTTCTCAGAAAAGTTCCAATTTTTTCAACCTCAGTTCTGCCAAGCAGGACTAGCGTACACCTTAGCACACTAAACCTTTGCAGCTAGCAGTATTACACAGAGCTAGTTTACCAGATATTAAGAGAAAAGTAATAAACTGATGCCACTGAGCTATGGAAAATCAAAGATTCAAACAATAAAGTCTTCATAAACAAAAAAATCTTAATAATGAGTAAAATTGTTGAATTGCAAATAGTGAAAGGGTTAATGTTAGTGTGTAGTTTAGGTGTTAGGAAGCTGTTTTGTTCCCTGAACAGAGGAAGTGCAGCGCTCGATAAGGGAAAGCTTCTATTTACCATGAGAGCAACAGAGCAGGAGCTGAAATCTACCTTCATCACATACCTGAGCGTGAAAGTTGCTTATGGTGGTCGTCTCGATGTCTTTCTTGCCCAGTATTTCCATTTTGACCGGCGTGTTGGGGAAGTTGAAGGCAAAGTAGTCCAAGAAGTCGGGCAAGTAGGAAGCCGCCCCATGGATCACAGTCAGGGCATAAACCGCTGCACCTTTTGGCTTCTCTGCGAAGGTCAGCTCCAGGAACTCCCGGGCGAAGCCCTCCATCTCAGCCGGACTGAGGCACGCCAACTCGTCAGCGTAAGCGTGCAGCACGCGCCCGCCGCCGTTGGGCTGCTTTTCCTCGTGAATGAAGCGTCCGTATCTGGTACCGGTCTGGAGGCAGAAGCTGCGGATGTAGTGGTCTTGATGCGAGAGGAAAGGGATGTGACCTGCTTTGAGAGCTTGAAGGTAAGGTGGGCTGCTGTCAGCAGGTTCTCTGGCAGGAAGCCGACTGCCTTCTTGCTTTATCGCAGCAGGTTGAGGAGCTTCTGGGTTTACAGAGAGCGAGAGATCAGCTCCTAGCCCGGCGCACACAGTCTGAACCGCTTTGGTGTGGACATGTCGGACCTTCTTGGAACCATGATCATCGTCGCGATGCTTCTTCTTCTTTTTCTTCTTCTTCAGAAGATATTCTTCTAGTGTTAGAGACTTTCCATTTTCATTGTTTGGGATCAACTCTGAAAGATGCAAACAGATGATGGTCAGAAAGGAGAAGAGTGCAGAGAGAATAGGGTTTTTACCTCTGCAATGGAGGATACGTTTTAATCATGTTGGTTTGTCTGTCAGCCTGTTTGCAAAATAACAAAAAAAAAAAAAGTTATGGATGTATTTTACTGAATTACTGGATTTTACTCTCCTCTCTCTCTAATACCCTGTTTCCTGTCAGCCTACTCTCTAAAAGAAAACAAAAAACGAGTTACTGGTGCTGTAAAAACTAAAAACAATAAATTCAGTGCACACATTGACTTAAGGTGGAATCACAATATGTCAGGGGAAATTAGCTACTTGGTAGGAAACTGTGCTCACCGAGTGCTTTTCTAGTTAAAGACCTAAAGAACTTTTTTAATTTGAAAATTTATTTTAATTTTAAAATACACAAGATAGAATTTATACAATAAACCGAAACAACTCCAAATTGCAGAGCAATTGAAAACATTCTAATTTACTCCTTCAATGATAAATAAAATGTGATAATGTCTGGAAAAATTGAGATTTTGCAGCTTTGCTTGTTTGAAGCATAAAAAAAAACCAAACTTTTTTTGTTCATCAACATAAAAAGGCTTTTGGTCCATTTCCAAACAATGGTAGGTAAATAACTAAGGAGGAGGACGGTTCATTCACAGCAAACGTGTACAAGTAAACCTACTTTGTTAAAGTAAGTTTTTTAGGGATCTGTACTTTACTGAGTGTTTTTTGTTTTTGCTTTAGTCAGCACTTCTATTCTTTATTATTAGAGATTTACCAAAAATCAGAGACATCGCTACTATTAAAACATGACCCGAATTTATCATGAAAGGATTTCCTTATGTGAAATCAGGATATGAACAGAACTGCAGGTCGTTTCTACTGCTCCACACAACTTGTCGGTGGTGACCTACATTTTTTTTTTTTCCCAGCAAGGCACTCCTTGGTTTTTAAATAAGACAGAGTCATGTTTTGTTTTAAAATGTATCCTCATAACAGGTAAAATGAGGTCACAGTGAGATACGACGACCTGCAAACATTAAAACATTTTAATTTTCTTTCATTCATATCAGATCCCCTTGGATGATAGTTTTTAGAAGTAATCTGTCCTTTCTCACCTTTTTATTAGACTTTAGGGGAGAAAAAGAAAAAAAAAAAAAAAAAAAAAATCAATAAATCGCATTTGGTAGGGGAAAAAAAGAATCAGAGATATTTTAAGTATTTTTGCAGACATCTAGTTTTGTTAGGCGATCAGGATATAGGTCTGGGAGAGGGGCATGTTTATACTATATATCAGGCATCTCTAAAGTCAGTCCTCGAGGGCCGCTGTCCTGCAGGTTTTAGAGGTTTCTCAGCTTTAACACAGCTGATTCTGATGATTGCAGTTCATCAAAAGCCTGTTAATCAGCTATCAATGGAAATCAGCTGTGCTGGAGCAGGGAAACCTCTAAAACCTGCAGGACAGCGGACCTTGAGGACTGACTTTGATGCCTGCTATATATGGTTTAAATCCCTTAATATTCATCTTATATATATTAACAAAGATGCTGATAACTGCAGATGGCCACTGCTATTTACCCAGTTGCATTGTCCCTTTTTTTTTTTTTTTTTTTTACCTGCTCTGGAAAAGTTTGCTTCCACCACAATGTTTATTATGCTGTTTTGTTTAATCTATTCAGTAAACTGCTGTGTTTCCCCCTCCTTCTAACCTTAACTTTTTTAATGATTTACCAGAATATTTTCATTAACTGTTGCCTCAGTTGAACCGCCTCAGATTAAAAGCAGCCAGAAACAGAGGCGTAGCCAGAATTTTTTTATAAGGGTGGCCAGGCAATAACCAATGCCCACTGAGGGGGGGCCGAAAGCAGATAAGCACCAGAACTTCAGGGTCAATCTACACTGTTCCAACAGGAATATTAACGGGCAAAACATCCAAATTTTCTAAATAAAGACAAACTATACTTTCCTACAGCCTTTGCTAACAAATAAACGCATATATTTAAACATCTGTAATTTCTAGATAAAAGGTATAGTGGATAAAACACAGTTTTGAGTTCTGGGTGTAAATATCTTCCATTGTTATTACTTACCTACTTGTATCAATAAACATCCTGCATAAAATTAATATTTACAAGCACCAACATCTACATAAATTGATTATTTCATAAGTTTTTATTAAAATTGTTATTTATCTTTGATTTCAATGTGTATAATTAACCACAAAAAATTAAAATGTTTTGAATATTCCACTTAAGAGTATTACTGTTTCCACCATCTGTATGAGAGGGGGGGAAAAAATGGTAGGAGTGGCCACAGATTGCCTAAGGGTGGCCATGGCAGACCCTGGCCCCCCATCTAGCTCCGCCCCTGGCCAGAAACCAAAACAAACACGCAAAAGGTGTTAATGGTAGGGTCAAATCTCCCTTTGTTTACCTTGTTTAGCAACAATAAGCTAAATAAATGGAATTTGTGGAATGTATAAATATAATAACTTGTTTTAAATTACTTGAAACTAAAAAAAAAACATAAATTTTGAATTAAGGCCAATTTAGAAGATAAACTGTTGCTAAATTTCAGACTGCAGCATTTGTTACACAGGTTGACCTACTGGTGCTTAGAGCCTTGGATTTAAATCTAATTAAATAAAAATAAAAAAATCACCTTTTTTCTTTTTTTGGTGGGGATGTTTGACGTTAGCCTCTGAGTTTTCCTTCTTCAGCTTCAGCTTCGGTTCCTGCTCCCGGTGCGGCTCTTTGCGCTCGTGCTGCGGGGCCTTCACCACTTTGAGGGGCGTGAAAGTGAAGAGCGCAGGTGGCTGAGGGGCCACGGATCGCTTCTGCGAGGGGAAAGCGGGCAGCAGGCTCTTCTTGGCGCCGTTAGTCAGACCATGGTGGTGCTGGTGGACGTGCAGGACGTGTTTGTCCAAGCTGAACACCTGGGCTTTGGGCTTCTGCTGCAGCTGGTGGTGACTCCTGTTCTCAGCGTGTTGCTGGACGCACTGCTGCTGCTGCTGGCTGGGATTATGATGATGGAGCTTCACCTTTTTGGCTTCTTTTTCGCATCTTTCTCTTTTATCGGTTGGCGGAGACAAATCCCTTTTCTTTTTCTTCTTCTTCTCTTTGATGAATCTCTCAAAGCTGTCCCTGATCCGGTCGTCGTTGGCTTTCGTTCGGAGCAGGTCGACTTGAGCTGCCATATTTGCACGTACAGTGTCTTTAAATGGCTCGGCGATCGGAGTGCGCATGTCCGCGTTCATTTGTAGTTTTTCTGGCCGATTATTTGTAGGCCGCGTCAACGTTTTGCTGATATTGCGCATGCGTCCAGCTTGCATTGTGGGTAGTGTAGTTCGTAGCATCTCGGGACTTGAAGTTCAACTCGCATTGACTGCGTGCGGAGCCGCACGCACTCAACTCCGTCTGGCTGACGTCATGGGTAACGTCATCACCCACTAGAGGGCGCGATTTCTCTTCCACGGAATGCATCAGACGAAAGAAATAAAATAAATAAAATTATGAAAAAAAGTGGATTTAAAAAAAGATAAAACTGAACAATAAAATAGTTTATATAGCAAATTACTTCAATTACATTTGAATGAATATATATATATATATATATATATATATATATATATATATTTCTATTTTACACTTGTATAAACAATATGACAAAATCTGTCTAAGTCTAAAAATAAAAGATTTAAAAATTACTATCACAATTTACTCCTTTTCATTGAACTGCATCAAAGCCTCAGTACTACATCCCTTCCACATGTGGTTGTAATTACCACAATAACATTATATAGAAACCTCTGTTTTTTAAATACTATATTCCCAAAGGTGTGTTAAAGATAGGCTCTATGTACGTACCTTGACACTCTATTTCTCCGGTTCTTTTCCCTGAAAAGAGATTACTTAGGACAAACCCTTTAAACTTCATACTTCATATCTTGTATTAAATAACCAGGAGAACTGACTATAGATTCTAATAGAATCAGAGAAATTGCTTAGAGTTTACAGAAGGCAGCTGCTCACCTCTGGGCTCACCTCTCAGGAAGTGGCCCCGATAACAGTTAAAAAGGCATTTTATACATCTATGGTCTGCCACGTCATCTTATTTTATATCATACACATAAGCAGATGATTAGACATCCATGGCTCCAGCCTTAACAAAATATTACACTTTGTTCTTAGCTGAAGGACTCCGCTCTCATTCCATTTCCAAATCTATGCCACGTACAAAATGAAGATTAGAACTGCATATCCAAACAGAGGAACTGTCTTAATTAGATTAACTATTGTGGAAAATATTGGGCAGCCAATACCAAGGTGAAATAAACTCACACATCAATGATAATTATCCTAACAGGTGTGTTTTGTTTATTAGAAGTTATGCAGCAGATCTCTGACATTTTCCTTTTACTTGGTTTTCTCCATTCTCAGCTATTGCAATGTTATTTGTCAGCTAAGCCAGAACAAGTACTTTTGCTTATCGTTTTTGGCCTTGGAGATCCTGATAATAATTGCTTCCCTTTGTTTGGTTAAAACTTAATGATGTTACGCTTTTATATGCTGTGCCTGTTTCACTTGGCAGTTTTGAGTTCATTGGTAGCTAAATATCTTATATTTTTGTATTATATTACATATCCCCGTTTCATTCAAAGGGTTGTTACACCTATTATACTCACTCTTTGATATTCAATTCAAACCTCCTACCTAAAAGTTATTGAGCAAACATATTACATTTGCTTCACTGGGGCTATTCTGATAAATCATTTTATTATGAATAAGAAGTTTAAGCCTCACAAAGACTTGCTTATTACTGATGATTCAGTTTTTTTTTAATCTTTTTTATCTTGTTTGGGTCAGTTAATACTATTCAAAACAAGATATTTGAGATCCAGTTTCTAAAAATTATTATGCAATCCCTGGTCAATAGGTGTTAACCCATCCTAAAATGGGTTTTAGGGTTTGAAAAAAAAATGAAAGTTTAAAAAAATGAAACAAAAATCAACAAAAAATTATTTCAAAGGAAGATAAGTCAACAAAATAATTAAAAAGAGAAAAAAAAATGCAATATTTAATTAAATGTTTTTAATGTTCCATGTGTTTCTTAAAGATTGGTTTATTCATCAGGAAACCAGACTTCTCCGAACTTGAGCATCCTCTTCTTTGTTGTTTTCTGGATTATATTAATAGAGATTTATAAAAACAGACAACCTAAATGCATGTATACTGTCTCACTTACATTGATAAACACAGAATGAGAGAAAAAAAATACATAAATTCTTATATTTAATCAGTAAACCTTTATTTATCAGTGCATGAACAGTATGCCATGATCATTTTTTTTCCACCCATTGCATAACATTTCCTCTCAGCTCCCTTAAAAAAATAATGGATAACAATTTACATAGATTTTCTTTCTTCATGAAGGCAATTATTTTATACATGTGCTGTACAATTTATAAACATTTACAACTACAATGATGTCAAAACTATGTCTTTTAAATATGTTGGAGCAAACGCAAGGCCACGGCATCAGACATGGTAAAGATATGAACAGTTAAAAACGACAGTAGCCCATCATATCAACATGAAAACAGACAATAAATTATCCAGCGGCCTCGCAGACAAACAGATGCGTGTATTACTTCTTCATATGCTTATGCAGGCAGGCGGGTTAGGGTTAAAGCTATGACTTGCTTGTGCAGAGCAGAGGTTTCAGCACTAGATGTCGCTCTAGTCCACAGTAAGAACACAGAAAGGCTACATTTTCTCTTCAGAGCAGTCAGATGCTTTCCTGATTGCTTTTTAAACGCCAAACTTAAATCCCAATTTAAACAGCATTAAGCAGAACCTCCCATCAGACTACTGAAGAAGAGGAGCAGAGGTTTTTCTCATGATCTACAGAGGCATCTGCAATCACAAGCAGCTTTCATGTCAAAACTTAAAGAGGGTCTGGCTTTGTGTAAAACAAACACAAACATGTTGCAGTGACAAACTACAGCAAAGTACAGGACCAGGCACAGTGACTGGCAGTTCTGGAAAAAAAAATGTGTAAAAAGCCTTAAAACATGTAAATATAAACCTCCAAAACACTATTTTAACCTCAAATGTATTTATTCTAACATTAGTGAAATGCTGCAACTGAACCAAACCTAAACACCCAAACTTAATGCATTTTTTTAGAAGGAATACTCCCCCCACTAAAAATATTCAAAAATCAAAGGTTGCATTTTTATCAACATCTCAGCGGCTTATACCCCTGCAATAAAACATTTATTATTTTATGGCTTTTTACACATCATCAACACAAGTGCTAACGCATGCGTCTGGTTCTGTACCTTCATAAACATTTGAACTAAGGGTTCCCTCTTTTTATGTGTGCCTATATTCATGAGATAAATATATATTTCTAAATATTTCATACAAATTAAAAAGAAAAGTTTGCATTTTTATCAATTGTAAAGCTTCGCTAATTAATTTCTTCTAAATATGATCAATATTTGAGGAATTGGTTTGCTAAATAATTAATTGATACGTATTTTTGAGCCTAAAGGAATAAATAAAATGCATTATCAACATGATGCATGAGACCATGATGTAAAGGAGGATTCACATAAATGGTGTAGAGTTTCTACATGCTCGGCCTCCACGCAGACATGTATGGGCGCTCTTGTTTTGCTTTTAATTTCTCACATTATTTTCACAACACAAATACAAAAACATTAGATCTATAACCACAAGTATCTGGTCTGCTCATTGATGCATATAAAGCTTCAGAGTGTTCCTCCCACCTACATGGGATTCATGACTTCACATATTCGGATGCAGTCACACGAATCACAGCTTTTATCGGATATTTCTTCTTTTTAATCATAAAAAATAAACATTGTTTTTCCCTCAGGTCGTTTGAAGAAACAGTGGTCCCTTTAGAGACGATAACAGTGAGTAAATCTTGCTTGGTTTTAAAACTTAGCGAGTGCATGAGTATGCTTGTAATCCTTCAAAGTAAACACAAACAAAAAAACGTTTTCTTCTTGTGGCTCGGTTAGACGGGATGAGCACTTCATTTAGACACCTTCAAACCGATTCACAGTGAGTGCTATCAGGAGCAGCTTCATTTTAACTAGAGTCTCTGATTGGCACAGAATAGATTTCCTTCTGAACTCCCGGCTCAGATCTCATCTCACATGAGCATGCAGCAGGGTTTGGTACAAATACTCCGTCTGAGGCAAACCGGGTGAACAAACAAAAAACAGAAAGTTAATGAGAAGGTATGTGCTGGTTAAACGTCGATCCGCTCTCTCCAGCCCGTTCATAAAGGCTCAGCTTTGTCTTCATTCATGATGAGTCCACGTGGGACTGGATCTTGGCCGAGCTGGGAACCTTCCATGGGCCGGGGGTGATGGGGGCCTTCTTGCTGGTGCTGGTCCCGTTGCAGTTGGGATCCTGGATGCTACTGCTGGAACCTCTGGGGTCCCTTCTGTTGATTTGCTCAGCTGACCCCTGATACTTGGCCTCTGGGTATTCCTTGTCGGCTCTCTCTCTTCCGCTCCTGTGGCTGGCTGTAGTCGGATCGGCCTCCGAACCCGCTCTGTCCCAGTGGGGTTTCTGAGCCGCTGCCTCTTTCTCAGCCCTCTTTCCCTTCCGGTGGCGCTCGCCGGTGCCCCAGCCTTTGTCTCCACTCTCTGCAGCCCCTCTCTCCTGCTGGTAAGCTGCATCCTCCTCTTTATGTCTCCAGTCTTTCACTTCCCCGGCTGGCTGTTGTCCAGTGGGACGTCTGGGGCTCTGAGGTTCTTCTGGGTTCCTGGAAAGGACAGGATCGTGCTCCCTCTGGGAGCCCTTCCGTGGGCTAGCAGAGCGCAGGTCTCTCTGCCCTTGGGTTTTCCTTTCCCTGTTTTCCGATGTTTTTTGGGGGCTCTGGGACGGCTCCATGTGATCCATCTGAGCTTCTGCTGCTCTTCTGGGACTGCTAGGTATGAAGTCGCTCTGGCCAGTTTTCCTGGGGCTAGAAGCACGCTTATGGTTGTGTGTAGGGTGCTGCTGTCCCCTTGATCGGTTAGCTTGTGTACCGTGGTCCTGTCCAGCACCGGGGAAACCAGGCACTCTGTAATCCCCTGCTGATGGCTCTTCAAGGGTGAATGCTTTGGAGGAAGAAGGTGACCATCCTGAGTTTGAGGATGGAGAAGCTGGAGATGACTGGTCATCAGATGCAGAGAGTCTGGGAAAGCTCGTCTTCGGAAGGGCTACTTTTTCT